GTCTGCTCATGCAAGGAAGATGTCGATGACTCGTAGTGCCACGAAGCAAGCAAGGCTTTCGCTCACTGAAACTAAGGTTTCTTGATGCAATCCGATGCAGAGAGCACACCCGAGGCCTTCGAACTGATCCTATTTCTCAGGAAAGTGCCTGTACTGTCTTGAATAGGGAAATCTCATACTATCCTCAGCTCGCGGTGGACACCCTTTCAAGTATGGCAGATAATAGGAAAATGACTAATACTATTTCATGATATCTTCAGTGTACCATGTATGAACTGATATCTATCGTGTACTAATCAGTAGCGACCAATACCCCCATAATACTCACAACCAGTCTATAACACCCTTGCATAACCTCGATGTTTTCCGTACACTGAGTGAGCGCTCTTTACAAGATTCGACATACAAAACGAAATATGTAAATGCCGTTTATATCCTACTAGTAGAGATCTTGAGTCACTATTAATTTTCACTATTCTCATATAGTATGATGATCGAGGCGCCACTTCAACCAGTAATGTGAAGAACCCTCAAGATTACAGCAAGGGGCTCTCGAGGTAGCTGGGCACTCCACTGTCCATCTATCGTCTCAACTCGGCACCGTTTAGCCGAGTAGAGCACAGGCGAGCCGCCGGTCCAGGTCGCATCCAGTAGAAGCGTTACGTCAGAAACCTGCCTCAGTAGCTTTACCAAGGGGGACAGCGAATTGTGTTGGGCCTACCACGCCCCCCTTAGCAGTAGTGTGCAACACGTTGCCATCCTTATCTACCATCACAGGCCCCGACGCGTCCACCACAACTCCTGCCGAGGGACGAATGCCCCTGGCTAAGCTAAGAAACCACCAAAGCTGTAGAGCTTGCAGACTTGTGAGAGCTCACCATGCAACTTGATTGCTTTCCGGTTGCCATTCGTGCAGTGTAGTGTCAGTCGAGGTCCAAAGGATGCTGTTACTCGAATGGTTGTGAACAACACTGCAGACCTAAACCGGCTGGGGATGGTCATTTCATGAAGAGCTAGCTCGCTCCACCCTTCCACTGCTGCCAGTCAAAGTCTCGATGAGTTTCCCATCTGGTACACTCCACTTGAGCAAGCGACCGTCAAGGCATGTAGTGATAACAGCGTCCTTCCCAGCAACCTGATAGAGTCGTGACCAGTAGTAGCGAACTCAGCTGACTCACAGCCATTCCTATCTGTTGGTCGCCGAGATCTTCACCGACTTCGACCTCCCAGACCAAAGCTGCCGTGTCGGGTTTTAAACAATAACAGCGAACCTTAATAGTAGGAATATTCCGATCGGAAATCCATGTTCATTGTTCTGTATTTCAACCTAGATCAGTATATGAACTCCTATAGTTAGTGAGGAAAATGTTAAGCTCAGCTGAGGAAAGCAAAAATATATATTCCAAAACTGAGAGTGCGAGAGAAACCTGTGTTACATGTTTATCAGCATATGCAACAACAACAGTATTGTCATCAGGGCACGCCAGAGAAAATGCCGTGGAAGGCAACTTGGGGAAAGCATAGAGAAACTCGCCGGTCAATCCTGAGGGACCAATCGCATTGAAGAAGACCGTATGGGCCCACCTTCGTAGACGTTTACCAGCCCGTCGCTGCCACAGGTAAGCAGGAGGTCTCCACTGGGAGTGAATGTTGCCCCCTGGACGAAGTTGGTGTGCCGCCCTGCATGTAGGAGCATGATTATT